CAAACTCAGGAGAACAAAATGGCAAATTACCAGATTGTTGCTAAGAGGAGCATCTCCATAAAATTACCATTATCTGAGCACATTTGGAAGGAACCTTAATCTTTCACAAGTACCCTCAACAAATAAAATGGTCAGTTTAGGACCATTCATGTCTCGATTAAAATGTATTAGAGAGAAGATAAATTCTGGAAACCATGCCTCTTTTCCTGGATGGATTCACCGAAGAATTCCTGGGTCTACTACAAATATATCCAGGTAATCCTTGATCTCATGATCACAATTGGCAACCAGAATTTTAATCACTAAGCAAAGGGTTTCTTCAGCAAGTTGAGCCCAATCTTACAACCTTTTTCACTATGGTTGTTCTGCAAATCACTGCAACCGTTAAGTGAAACAGGTTGTTGCTAAGCGAATCCAGCTTTTGAATTTGCTTATTGGAAGCTGGCTGAGAAAGTTGAAAATGGTGATAGTGTGACCTTGAATCTCTCACCTCTCAGTGGGGTGGGGGGGAGGGTCTGCTCCTGAGTGTGAACTGCTCTGTCCAGAAACTTAATTTTCTTCAGCCCTACTTTTAATTTAATTTCACAACATATAGACAGATTTAACCAAAGCTGCAATTGGGAAAATGTAACCATCCTAGACCAAGCCAAATCCTAAGATGCCAGGAGATTTCTGGAAGCCTGGCACTCTGACAAATCAACCATCAACGGACACATAGATATGAACAACTTCTATAGACCGTGCAAAAGAGACAATCAACCAGCCCAAAAGAGATCAACATAACTCCAAGGTTGAACTCCAAGGTTGAACTCCAAGGTTGAACTCCAAGGTCCATGAACTCCAAGGTTAACATCAGACCAACAATCAAGCAAACCATACTCAACAAAAATAGGACATGAAAAGGCAGTGATTCAATCAAGGAATTGCCAGAGAAGCCAACAGTATACAGCCCAACCAAATTTTCTAAAACCGCCCCCACCAACACCGACAGGGCAAGCCACCAATATAAACTGAAGCCCCACTCCTTACTAACACTGATGATGTTACCTAGATTGGCAATGAAATGTCTGCAAGAAAACAAGCAAACTCAGAGAGCACCAAGGACCTCTTAAGTCCTATTTTTGTTTATCAACCCTTAACAGAGGGTTTGTATTTAGACCAATATAGTTACTTCTTTGTCTAGATCAGACGTCTTCAAACTTGGCAACTTTAAGACTTGTGGACTTCGACTCCCAGAATTCTTCAGCCAGCTATGTTGGCTGGAGAATTCTGGGAGTTGAAGTCCACAAGTCTTAAAGTTGCCAAGTTTGGGGACCCCTGGTCTAGATTATCTACAACTAAGCCTTGCCTTGACAAGAAAGAAAGCTGGATGGGTCTATTATATTAATATTCTGTGATCCCTTCCAAACTGAGCTATGTATATAAAATATATAGGCAGCAACGGTACATCCATATCTCATGTTCAAATGCTAGTACTTACTGAAGCATTATCTTTTGACTGGGATGTCCAAAAATGCTGCCTAAATCCACAGAGTTTGAAAATTAAGAGTTACAGAAGGGCCCCACAAGGCTACAACGTGTGTTTGCAATCTTGGGTATCTTTCCACACTGACTCATCAACTGGAAAAACAGTACACCATAGAGAATTGTACATTTGGTTGTGGTGGGATTCTGGCAGGGTGTGTTGGATCTTGAAAGCTGTAATGAACCAAAAAAAGAGTTGACTGTAAAAAGAACAGTGCAGTTCATTTTCTCTTGAGGAGATGTGGGTGAAATTCCTTAAACCACCCATATGACCAGCATTACTTGTGCTTGTGAATGCTAACTTTAAGAATTTCATGAAGGAAAACCCAACTTTATAAATAGAAATGGGGAAGGTCTGCACCAACAATTTTATAAAATTACCACTGTAGAAAGGGGAAAGATTATATTTTGGTAACCATCAAGGGCATGCTGGTTGGGAAATTGTGAAAAGTTAAATCCAGCTCATCACTTTTGAAGAAAAATGTGTTATTCACTTCTTTGATCTCTGGGATCATTTGGAATACTACAATTCGAATCTACCAGCTTCAAGGAACCTTCTACATCCATTTGCCAGCTCAGCAAACTTCTATGGATGTGTGCTTTGGTGATAATTAAAGTTGGGCTGTCTGTCAATCCAAGCAATTATGTTTCAGGTCACATGTACGTAAGGAAGTACATGTGAATATATCTTGAATGTTTTAATGATAGAACCTGAAGAGAATTCTTATAAATTGAGAAAACAAAATCCTAGCTGGAGAAAGAGAAGAAGTTTGAAACGGGATTAAAAGAAAATATATGGATAATTAGTTAGTTTAGCTTATTGTCATTGCACCTCATACAACAAAATTAAATGCCATCTTCAATGTACATTATACATAAAAAATAAAACAAAAACACACACCCTTCACATTCTATACATTCAATTGAAAACCCCTGTTTTTGCATTAATATTGCACTATACAGTAGAATTCAATAGAGTTATTGCCCTGGGATAGAAGCTGTTTTTTCAGCCTATTTGTCCTTGTTTTTATAATTCAAAAAAAGAATGCCCAGGATGAGATGGATCTTTAAAAATGTTTGAACTTTCTTAAGGCAGCAGGAGCTATAAGCTCTTCCGATAGTTGGAAAAGCTGAGAATGACAATAGTTGGGAAAAACATTGTACAATCGAGTATCTAACAAGTAACACCAATCCACCTCTCTGACAGAGAATTTGTAGACATTAACACCTCTCTAATTCTGCATGGTCTAGCTAGTTGGACATTTTAATTTTCCACCACACTTCTCAAGATCATCTGGTTGTCGGCAACGTGCAAAGTCATCGTGTGTTGTCTGAACTTAGACTCCAAGTATTACTTATGAATAAAAAGGTATTGGTTAATCTCAGGGGGAATAAAGCAACGGCTTCGTGTGATACTGGAATCCAGTCCATGTTCTAGCATTCTGAGAAAATGAAGAAACTTTGAACAGAATAACTGCCTTCTCAAATCAGTAGCCAGTCCTAACTTAGGAGAAATATCTAGGAGTTACTCAGTTCATTTTGAGACTGATCCAATTATTCTTTCCATTGTTCTATAAGTACTACCCATGTTTCCCCCAAAATAAAAGCAGGTCTTATATTATTTTTTTCTCCAAAAGATGCATTCAGGTTTATTTTCCTGTTAGGTCTTATTTTGGGGAAAATACAGTACTAAAATGCATCCATATAGCTGATCATCTTAACTGGGGCTTATTTTGGGGTACAGCTTTTATTATGAGCATCCTGGGAAAATCATGCTAGGGCTTATTTTCCAGTTAGGTCTTATTTTCAGGAAAATTGGTATGCTATGCCACACTACACTACACTACACTATACTACACTATACTTATGGAACTTAGTTTAGTTCCATAAGAACTATACTAAAATTAAATTAATACTTAAATTAAATTAAATCTTTGTGGGTGATACATTTCAAAAAGTTATAATGTCACGCAATCAGGAAAGTTTATCTGACTTTACTAGTTGAGGAAAATGAGTGGCAGAAATTGGGGGTAGAGTTAAAAGAGGAATAGGTTTAGAATCTCTACATATATAACCACAAGTGGACTAAGTCCAATCAACCTAGCAAGTGCTAATCATTGGTTGAGATGATTCCTGTGTGTTTGGTGTTTTAGCACTAAATCAGTTTTCACATGTGAACCTGTTTTTTTCACACCTAACACCAGTCTTTTCAGTCAAGAAATCCTGTTTTTGTGCCACCTGCGGTTGAGAGAAACATTGGGGTATACAGGCAATAAATAAATAAATGTTTGGATGCATTTAGGCCTAAGCTGTTGCCCAGATCTTGAAATACTGTAGAGAGCAATTGCTTTCTGCAGTTTGTGTTAAATCCCAGGAGATTTTTTTTCACTTGGTGTAAACAGCCTTCTGCACAATTTCCATTCCTGCCTTATTCCTTTCTGAAACAAAGTACTCTTTCCAGTAGGTGTAAAGTAATAAAAGGATCTCAGTCAAACTGAGAAAGTTGAAGTACATGGAAAGCAACAGGGTTGAGAGTTTGTTGTTCTGTTCACATTCTCTTATTATGAATAATACTAGCCATTTTCTATACCAGGAGGTATAGAGAAAGTATTAATAGGCTAACACTTATATCCAGCAGGGAAGAATTAAACAACTCAACAGGGCAATATAAAGATGCCTCTGAAGCAATCAAACCAAACTGACAGTGTTTTTCCACTGGGGGAAAAAAAAATCATACATGAGTCCCAAAAATCAATGGAGGAAAGAAAACTCATGAGTCCCAAATCTCCATCAGATCTGAGAACAAGACCAGCTTTGATTTCTCATAAGGAACAATGAACAGATTAACAAAGTTGGAAGGGACCTTCTAGGTCATCTAGTCCAACCCCCTGCCAAGCAGGAGAAACCACTTCTGACAGATGGCAGTCCAGTATCTTCTTGAAAGTTTCCAGTGAAGAAGCTCCCACAACTTCTGAAAGCAACTTCTGTTCCATGGGTTGATTGTTCTCATTGTCAGAAAATGTCTTCTTATTTCTAGGTTGAATCTCTCTTTGATCAGTTTCCATCCATTATTCCTTATCTGGCTTTCAGGTGCCTTGGAGAATAGCTTCACTCACCCCTTCGTCTCTGTGGCAGCCCCTCAAATATTGGAAGACTGCTATCCTCTCTCCCCTGGTCCTTCTCTTCAGTAGATTAGCCAGGCCCAGTTCCTGTAACCGTTCATTGTATGTTTTAGCCTCCAATCCCCTAACCAGCCTGGTTGATCTTCTCTGCATCCTTTCTAGAGTCTCAACATCTTTTTTATAGTGTGGTGATCAAAACTGGATGCAGGTCTCGAGGTGTGGGCTTAGAGGTGAGTAGAGAATTTGAAGAGCCTTTCTGATATCAGTTCCCTTTAACAGCTCCCGTATCACCATTCCTGTTTGACAGTATCCTGTGTTATTATTCCCTATATTTAAATGTTTGAATTCAACCCCAGTCCCTTTTTGTCTAACGACTACTTTTTCTCAATAATTTACTAACAGTGAGGGCAATGGGATAGCATTAAATCAATGACTTTACTATACAGTAAAATGTTAAGAGCTGAAACGAAAGCCTAGCAGTAGCTTTTTCTGTCATCGCTCAGTTGAAATAAGTCGCCAGTCTGCTCTTCCTTTTTATCTACATACATATATAGGAAGATCAGTTTGAAAAATAGTCACACACAGTTCATCTTTACCAATAGAAGAATATCTGTAGCACAGATGGAGGCCTTGGTGCTCTCAGAGAGCACCAAGTATCCAGCAGCTCATCTTTGTTTCTAAATTTATTTTAATATGACTCGAACATTTTGGACAATCACTGAATTGTTAAAGATGCCGCAGGTGTGGGAAGTCCCCACCCTCCAGAAGAATGAAATATTTTGGGGGATATTAAAAGGGCAGGACAGAATATTTCCCCTAAAGGAAAAATGGGAAAAAAAAAAAAAACTTAAAGGAGGCAGAAACAACTGCCAGTTTCCCTTCCCCAAGCAGAAACTGAGGAGGCCAGCTTTTAGAAATGCAGATTTGGTAATCCATTCAGAAAGATTAGGGTCAGACAGAGGCTCCAGATAATCAACACAATTAGACAAACCAAAGGTTGACAAGTTTAGTTCAGACAAACACCTAGGATTTGCATTTCCCCTTTTGCCTATAGAGCCAGCCATGCCCCCTACATGACCCCATAGGAATCCAGAAGGTATAAAAACCCACCCACTCTCAACTCCATTTAGTCAGCTGTGTCAGTCACATGTGGCCGGTGGTTCTGCTTCATCAATAAAGAGAATCTTTCTTTCCAACCAGCCTCTATTTTATTCCTGGCTTGGAACTAGACCTGGTTATTTCTTTCAACACAAGTTCTCTTGGCTACACTTGATAGCTTATTGATTGATCAGTCTTACAACCATATCAAAAAAAAAAAAAATAGAATGAATGTAAAAGGCAATGTCTATTTCTGGGTTAAAATAGAAAAAAAGAAAATGCAATGTAATAAAACAGACGTGTTCTAAATACAAAGAAGCAACTTTCATATAAATGCATCACCTTTATACAACATCCTAATCTGTTTGGTATAATGGATTCTTAGTGGAACTGCCTCATCTATAAACTTAGCAGTTCTGCTAACAATGTATATGTTAGAGCCCAGGAGGAAATAGGTCAAGTCACAATTGAAGTCCCAGCGGGCTATCCTTTCAAGTAAGGATTTTTAATATTTAATTTTAAAAAGGGCATGCAGCTGACAATCCAACAAAATGAAGCAATATTCTTAATAGTTGGAATACTGTGTAGTAGACACGTTCCCTCATGATATGGCAAGTTACAGAATAAATAAATATATTTTATTTATGCCTACAGTCCACTCCAAGAGCCAGTTTGGTATAGTGTTAAGACATCAGGCTGGAAACCAGGAGATTGGTTATAATTTTTTTCCTCTAACCCAAAAGATTGTCAAGCACTTTGTATGATCATGGCTTGGTTCAGCCTTAATCTTAAACCTTAATGATTGAATCTCTCCAACTTACTAGGTTAAATGCAAACAATCCTTTTCAAACGAGTTTGGGCAACAGAAACTTACTCTGCATTTGGTCTTTCAAAATGATAATTAGGGAATGGTGACTTTTGCACCTTGTATTGTTCCTTGAACCATGTCCAATAAAAACTATAAAACTTTCCCTGTTGGTTTTCTCTCTCAACCAGTCAGGCTGGTTGATTATCTACCTTACTGCAAAGTGCTGTAATACTGGCATGGATTATTAAAAACTGTGTGTATCACAGCAATAGGATTGTTCCACACCACTCAATCCAAATCATCATAGGTTTATTATATCTCTCTCTGCAATAAATCTGACATAAACCATCGTACAAGGGCCATCAGCGCCCATCTTCCCCACTATTTGTAACTTGTGTCATTGGTTTTTAAATAAAGGTGTGTTAAACTTTTAAAATATCATGACCCCTAAAGACACTGTTGGTATACATAAACGCAATGAATCTTGATTCATTTATGGGGAGCTGCTCAGGAGTTGGGTTCAAATTTTTTTAACAACCGGTTCTGTGGGCATGGCTAGGTGGGTGGGGCCATGTGATTGGGTGGGCGTGGCTTTTCTGCAGCAACCTCTTCCCTCTATTTTTGATTCTCCTGGGCCTCAGGGAGGCCTTTTTGCTCCTAGAAGGCTTCCCTGGGGCCCAGAAAGGCAAAAAATGGAGCATGGATGGTCAGCGATGTTGGGCATACATGTGACATCATGTTTGTGTGATAAGGACCGACTGGGTGGGGAGAGGAGGGGCGGGCGGAGAGGGGCGGGGCTAGCCAGGGGCACAATTTGCCAGTTCTCCAATATGCGCAGAATCGTAACCATCGGTTTATTGAACCGGTTTGAACCGGTAGAATCCCACCCCTGTGGCTGCTTTAAATGTATCACAAGAGCTTGATTTCCAGAAAGCTAAGAACAAAAGGTTATTTATGAATCACTATGGATATTGAAAAGCAACCTTTTGACACGACTCAACATCTTTGTTCATGTCAGTGTTCATTTTGATCTCCAAGATAGGTTTTAAAGGGCCTGAAGAAATTCTTAGTGGTTTGTAAATAACTTCTACGTACTGAAAATTGACACTAACTGACACTAACAGAAGTCATGCCCAGGTAGAAATGGTGACTGTCTTTTGATGGTTTTGCTTCTTATCGAGCAAGTGTTTGGAAGAACAAAAACATATCCTTATTATTAAAGATATAAGCATAATTAAGGACCATTTTAATCCAGCATTTCCCACGGTGGCCAATCAGGGGCCTTTGGGATGCTCACGAGCAGAAGGTGTCTTGCCCTGGTTGAGTTTTAAAACAAATAATGGTAAAAACACTTGACAGAGCTGTCTATCAGGAAATCATTACAAATTGTAGTGTAAACCGCATTCATGTCATGATTAAGTCTTCCGGTGATGAATTCTATGCACTAATTACATACAACAGTGAGCTCCCAGGGCCAGCAAGGCTTCAGACATCCAAAAAGCAACCCATATGCTTTTATATCTGTGAGGATATAAAAGAAGTAGAAAAGCAACACACATTGTGGCTTTCTAATCTCAGAACGGTTCCATCTCCCGCATAAAACCTCGACTCTTAGACGTTGCCTGGCTGCCAAAGGATTCAAAATGAAAGCTCTCTCATTCGTGGCATAACAGCTCACTGACTTGGGTTTCATTTATTTACAAAATTCACTGGTCTAGAAAACGTCTGCAGTATTCTATTTCATCATTAAGGGCCGTTCCAAAGCGATCCAGCTTAGTCCTTTGGGGAACTGAAAGTCAGATCTGGCACCAATATTGGCCTTCCCCCCCGTCCCCCCCTCCCTCTTCTTGGCAGCATGTGGTTAAATAAAAACACAGGACAAACACAATCCTTGCTTTGGATTTTCCTATTTCCTTTCGCTGGATGCCATCCTTAAGGGACAAGAAAACCTCACTCTCAAAACAAATCCTGCTAGGCGCCCAGGGAAAAACAGATATTTCTGCCTACCAAGTGACTGTCTGTTCAAAAGTGCCGCTTTAATTTGTTGTGGCTTAAATCAATTGCCAGGAGTATCAAAACAAAAAAAAAGTGGGAGGGGGGAATGAACCAAGGAGCAAAGTCTTCCTATGCTGACTAATCAGTCTAAATCTAATTTTAGAATGATTTAGGGTGTTAGATTCTAGAAAGAGTGCAGAGAAGAGCAACCAAGATGATGAGGGGACTGGAGGCTAAAACATACGATGAACGGTTGCAGGAACTGGGCATGGCTGGTCTAGGGAAGAGAAGGACCAGGGGAGACAGGAGAGCAGTCTTCCAATATCTCAGGGGCTGCCACAAAGAAGAGGGAGTTCATGCTATTCTCCAAAGCACCAGAAGGCAAGACAAGAAGCAATGGATGGAAACCTATGAAGTAAAGAAGCAGCCTGGATTAAGGAGAAATTTCCTGACAATTAGAACAATTGATCAGTGGAACAACTTGCCTCCAGAAGTTGTGGATGCTCCAACACTGGAAGTTTTTAAGAAGAGATTGGACAACCGTTTGTCTGAAGTGGTGCAGGGTTTCCTGCCTCAGCAGGGGGTTGGACTAGAAGACCTCCAAGGTCCCTTCCAACTCTGTTATTCTATTATATTCTAATTACAGATAGTCCAGGGAGCTGGAGAGCGGGCCACAGGAGGCCATCGCAGCCAAAACTGGAGCCTGGGAGGGCCACATGCAGCCCTCACGAGGTCTGATTTTGCTGACAGAGGGCTAACAAAACAAACTATTAGCAAAAGTGGCATTTGATCACACGAGTGATGTTGAGTTGGCCACACACACACCTTGACCATGCCTACACTGGCCCCCGAAGGTCAAACACAACTCTGATGCAGCCTTCAATGAAATCGAGTTTGACACCCCTGATCTAGTGAGACCTTTTACAGATTTACAGATAATCAGAGCTGGAAGGGACTTTGTAAGTCGTCTAGTCCAGCCCCCTGCCCAAGCAAGAGACCCTACACCATTTTTGACAGAGGGCAGTCCAGTCTCTTCTAGGAAGCTTCTAGTGATGAAGCTCCCACAACTTCCGAAGGCAGCTTCTGTTCCATTTGGTTGATTGTTCTCCCTGTCAGAAAGTTTTTCCTTATTTCCAGGTTGAATCTCTCCTTGTTCAGTTTCCATCCATTATTCCTTGTATGGCCTTCGGGGGCTTTGGACAACAACTTGATCCCTTCCTCTCTGTGGCAGCCCTTCAAATATGATAGGGTTAGCCTTTTATGATAGCCATAATTTTACCTGCTATTTATGCATCTTGATCTTTCATCGCTGTGTTATTATTATTTTATTTTTCAGAAAAGTTGCCATTTCTTACTTTGGAACCTTACATTTGTTACTACTTTTTTTTAGTCTCAGACAGTAAATAAACACAATCACCATGGAAATAATCAGCTCTTCAGTAACCCAGCATGTCCACCGCTGTG